TGTGCTCCTGTTTTGCCTTCAGTACTCTTATCTATAAGTTATTTCAGTCTGTACAAGCGTGCTGTGTATGCTGCTTCCCTCCACGTCTAATGCTTCTCTTAAATATTTATACTGTTCACAGAATTCAAGGTTATGGTTGTCAGTTTGAAAGAGCCGCGGGTTATTGCTGTTGCTGTCCTGGCATTAGATTGTGGTTTTGTTAGTGGATATGACGACACCACAATTAATTAATGCTTTTTACATGTCAAGGTGCAAGATGAATAATCTTGGGATGAGGCGTGACGAGTGTGCATCCTTGGAGATGAAGCCCAGCTTCCAGCTCTTTTTCTCAACTCTTCAACTCTCTACCAATACGTCCAGTGTTTCAACTCTCTAACAACACATCCAGCTCCTGAACTGTCTAACAACACATCCAATGCTTCAACTGTCTAACAACACATCCAATGCTTCAACTGTCTAACAAAACATCCAGTGCTTCAACTGTCTACCCACACATCCAAAGCTTCGACTGTCTACCAACACATCCAGTGCTTCAACTGTCTACCCACACATCCAAAGCTTCGACTGTCTACCCACACATCCAGTGCTTCAACTGTCTACCCACACATCCAAAGCTTTGACTGTCTACCAACACATCCAGTGCTTTAACTGTCTACTAACACATCCAGATCTTCAACTCTATCAACATGACTTACTCTTCAACAATCTCGTCTTCCACACACCCGAAACCTTCCTTAACCAGCAAAATCTTTAAAATATTCACATTAAATACTGCTTACTACCCATCCCTCACATGTTTATCAATCTTCTCTCACCAACTATTCAACCGCTTACACACACACACACACACACACACACACACACACACACACACACACACACACACACACACACACACACACACACACACAAATAATAAATGCTTTGCGTCTACAAGTAATTAGAGTTAAAAATACAAACGAACACTTAAAATGGTGTAAAAAGAACAAATGACCAACACAAAATTAAAAATCAAAATGAAGACAGAAAAAAAGATTATTGAATGAGACTGTAAACAAGTGTAAATATAATACAACTGATTTTTGGAACGATCAAAATTAAGGGACAGAGGAACAGAAAGGCGGGTTATTTGTGTATAAAAAGACAAGATTTATCATGACTTAAACGTAAAGGAATGTGTGAAAGCTAAAATAATTTTCATGATTATAAGATTGTGATAAAATGTTAAAAAACGTGTTAAAATAAGTACAGGGAGTGATAGCAAGTAATTTATCGCCAGAGACGCACATACCTGTGACAAGTATTGAGTGTTTGTCAAGCTTCTGGTAGTCTGCTGGTACACTTACCCACGGTATGTTTGCTAAATGGACACATCAACAACTATTGTGGCATTTTATGGCAACAATTCGCTCATTAGGAGCTTGATAAAGCTCCTGGAAGGGCGAAACGTTGCCACAGTAACATGTCACATTAGTTGCATCTGTATATATTTACCTAACATTCCGCCGGTAGTAGTCGTAGTAACGTAGTGAGACTGTTATGCTTGTGTAATGGTATTTTTGAGATGATTATTTCAAGCTGGGGCGACGCAAAGAGTAGGGGAAGTGGGGAGTGAAGCCCCCTCCAGAGCCGGATTAAGACCGTGTAGACCCGGGGAAGTGGGGAGTGAAGCCCCCTCCAGAGCCGGATTAAGACCGTGTAGACCCGGGGAAGTGGGGAGTGAAGCCCCCTCCAGAGCCGGATTAAGACCGTGTAGACCCGGGGAAGTGGGGAGTGAAGCCCCCTCCAGAGCCGGATTAAGACCGTGTAGACCCGGGGAAGTGGGAGTGAAGCCCCCTCCAGAGCCGGATTAAGACCGTGTAGACCCGGGGAAGTGGGGAGTGAAGCCCCCTCCAGAGCCGGATTAAGACCGTGTAGACCCGGGGAAGTGGGGAGTGAAGCCCCCTCCAGAGCCGGATTAAGACTGTGTAGACCCGGGAAAGTGGGGAGTGAAGCCCCCTCCAGAGCCGGATTAAGAGTGTGTAGACCCGGGAAAGTGGGGAATGAAGCCCCCTCCAGATCCGGATTAAGAATGTGTAGACCCGGGAAAGTGGGGAGTGAAGCCCCCTCCAGAGCCGGATTAAGAGTGTGTAGACCCGGGGAAGTGGGGAGTGAAGCCCCCTCCAGAGCCGGATTAAGACCGTGTAGACCCGGGGAAGTGGGAATGAAGCCCCCTCCAGAGCCGGATTAAGAATGTGTAGACCCGGGAAAGTGGGGAGTGAAGCCCCCCCTCCAGAGCCGGATTAAGACCGTGTAGACCCGGGGAAGTGGGAATGAAGCCCCCTCCAGAGCCGGATTAAGAATGTGTAGACCCGGTAAAGTGGGGAGTGAAGCCCCCTCCAGAGCCGGATTAAAACTGTGTAGACCCGGGGAAGTGGGGAGTGAAGCCCCCTCCAGAGCCGAATTAAGACCGTGTAGACCCGGGAAAGTGTTGAATGAAGCCCCCTCCAGAGCCGGATTAAGAATGTGTAGACCCGGGAAAGTGGGGAGTGAAGCCCCCTCCAGAGCCGGATTAAAACTGTGTAGACCCGGGGAAGTGGGGAGTGAAGCCCCCTCCAGAGCCGGATTAAAACTGTGTAGACCCGGGGAAGTGGGGAGTGAAGCCCCCTCCAGAGCCAAATTAAAACTGTGTAGACCCGGGGAAGTGGGGAGTGAAGCCCCCTCCAGAGCCGAATTAAAACTGTGTAGACCCGGGGAAGTGGGGAGTGAAGCCCCCTCCAGAGCCGGATTAAAACTGTGTAGACCCCTGGGCTACTGGTACTGTGAGTCTCCCCTCCCCCCCCCCCGACCAGTGATTTTTTTCAAAGGAAAAAGAAATAATCACAACAGTCAATAGCTCATAATTATACTATGCACTAACATACTATAATTATTGTTACATCTGTGTAAAGGCATCTCGCTGTCCTCGTCACTCCACTTCCTGACTACTCTGTGGTTTAACAAGTACTTCCTGAAATCCTTGCGATTCGTCTGTGATTTTAACTTCAAACTGTTCTCGTGTACCCGAGACCCGACCCTCGGAGCAGTTGGTCCATCTTCTGGAACAATGTCTTCATACAGGGACCAATATAAATACTATCATGTACCTGAGTGTTGAGCTTCAGAGCAATGTAATGAAATAAGAGCTGATACAATGTAGTGAAACAATAGTTGATACAATGTAAGGAAGATAACAATGATACAATGTAAGGAAGAAAAAAAAAGATACAAAGTAAGGAAGATAACAGAAGTTATAAGGAAGCGGTGAGCAAAGAATAAAAAAAGCAAGAGAGAATAAAAGGCGATAAAGATAGACACATGACAGTGTGAGAGGCACCGTGGTCACAGCTACTGTAAATAACACTCATTAACCTGCGTTTGTACTTGGTTATTGTGTGTGTTTGGTCCTCTCTCCTGGCAGGAAACGGGGGGAGAGAGAGAGAGAGAGAGAGAGAGAGAGAATGATGATGGCCTCTAGGTGTCATGATAGTAATGCTAGAACAATGGTAAGAATGAATGGGAGAGTGTTGGTACTTGGGGGATGAAGTTGATATCCTCGAGGTGAAATTTGACTCCAACTGACTATGAAGAGCCACGCTGTAAATCTTGCAACCAAGAGGTCAGAAAGCTTACAGCACTTGGACGTATCTCGCATCTGCTTGACAGCAGAGGTTGCAAGATTCTGTACAAGGTATAAATACGCTCACGCCTTGAGTATGCTCCACTTTCTTAGATTGCCTGCCCCCTATCTCGTCTGCGACTTCTTGACAGAACAGAGAGCAGAACAAGGCGACTCGTGTCTCGCCTGGATCCGGCCTGGACAGATCTATCATTCCAGCAGAGCCTTCAACACAGAGGGATGTGGGTGGCCTTACTGTTATGTACAAGGCTAACATTGTCAAAATACCACATTTGGATCCACTCCGAGGACAGTGCACTTTTCGCTTCTACACAACAAGACGGGAAGTAAACATCAACTACACTCGGACTGTACCCTTCTCCAGAACATCATAAGAATATAAGAAAGGAGGATCACTGCAGCAGGCCTGTTGGCCCATACTATTTATTCCTAGGATGACTCGTGTTCGTACAGTATAACGACATCAATGACAAAGTCAGCTGACCAAATGAAGTCGATGGCCCACAGATGGCTCCAACTTCATCCTGTTCCCTATCTGTATATCTCTTAACAAAAATGCTTTCAAATGAGCTGATGTATTTAACAGCTCTTAGCTAGTAAATAAAGTTATCAACCCTAAACCTAACCCTTGTAGAACCCTGTGTAAAGAGAGAGAGAGAGAGAGAGAGAGAGAGAGAGAGAGGTGTTCATAATTTCACACATACAGTAAGTGCTGAAGCAGCTCATCTCTGAAGCAGAAGACAGGAAGCAATATTTCTCTCCATGTCTTCATACTTAGCGCTTCACTCAACGGATAATATTTTCTAGAGATAATGAGAGAAAATAAATCTTAATGAGAGAGAATAAATCTTTGATTTAGCAAGGTATGTTACACTTGGAAATACTGCCTCCCGCCGCCTCACCTGACAAGAAGAAATTGTTGAATGACAAGACTTGCCAACAGGTATAGCAGATATACTCAAGATACAGGGAGCATGGTTGACTTTACAGAGCTCTACTTAAAGAGAAATGTCTGTCAATAAAGATCTCCTCTGCTTTAGTTGGTCTTATGGACACCACAATCGATGAGGTGGCTTGGCCTCTCTATTGGCCAGTAAACACTACAAGCGTGTGGAGAGTAACTCAAGCACCTTTGCTGCGACAGTTTGTCATCATAACAAGTGAGGACAAATACAACTTACCGAGGACCTTTCACGGCCGCTGGTGATTTAACATGCCAAACTACCTTGTTAATGGAACAGCAGTACAAAGTAAAAATGTCTTCTAAAAGCCAAACCAGTCATCTAGGTGAGTTAGATTGTTAGTAGCGTATAAAAATACAAAGATAAGAAAAAGACTTAACCTGGTTAGTGGGCGGGTAGTGGAGGTACCAAGGCTTCCAGGGAACGTATTCTTCCACTGCTGAGTTATACATGCTTCACAGTGTCACCACCACCACCACTACCTCTCCTGATCCTTAAACACAACCTCTCACCTTCCCAACACCACACACACTGCCTCACCTCACGTTTCCTTCATATAATCCCTGTAATCAATGACTACGCCTCGTTTCTATAGTCCTCGGACAAAAGCTGTCGTCACTGGCTAGGCGTCAGAAGAGATGCCTGACGGCGGGATTATTTAGTGTGGTTAGGTATCAAGGTTAAATACTATAGTTATGGGTAAACGAAGGCGGTCGAGCCGTTTTCTGTGTCCGGAGACTGCGGTTGTGTGGCGACGGCCAAGAAAGTTTACCAGCAACACAAGACATGAAGAACAGGAACCTTCAACCACACTGCACTTAGCGTGAAGATGGTTCATAATACATTCATCTTGTCACTGGTATCCGTTGCTGTCTTGTTGCTCTCTCGGCTGTTGATCCCGCTAAGACGACTTACTGTACCACACTCAGCAATAATTCAGTACTGTAGCTGGTCAAAGCCACACCACTCACTTGTAAATGTTCCGAGTGTCTCACCGGGAAACTTGGAGTCCAAGTCACAGCCTCATACACTTGATTCCTCGAGTCAGTAAAGTACCTCACACTCAAAGGTCGTCAGAAAACAAAAGTTTTTCAAGGAAGATGTGTGTGTGTGTGTGTGTGTGTGTGTGTGTGTGTGTGTGTGTGTGTGTGTGTGTGTGTGTGTGTGTGTGTGTGTGTGTGTGTGTGTGTGGTAGCCGTTGAGGGGGGTCGAGAGAAAGAACTTGCTAGTGTACAAGTTTAGTATCCAAAGTCTAGTATAGTGGTGAGGGAGGGAAGGAGGGAGACCTGGGCTCACGAATTTGTGTTGGACATTTACTTTCACTTGTTCCTCGTCACTAGTGGTGAAACACGTGTGTCCTGGCACCACGCCCACCCTGGCTTCCAGGCTGTGGAGGCAGCTGACCAGTCAATGACGCTACCCTCAACTGATCACTGCAGGAGCCGGGGAGGGTGGCGTGGACACTGTCTCAGGCACTTCCAGCAATTCACTATCAGTCGCTTGCTTCTAGATGGCACTTTTGGTATCTCGCATATCTGTAGTATGATACAAGATGCCACAAGTAAACATCCCGGGTTCCATGAAAGTGGTGGAACACCAGTAGTGCGAACCTCACAGCTCCAGTGTAGGCAGATGTTGAGAGTGGGTAGTGGGGTGAGAGACGTGTCAGGAGGCGACAAGTGAGGCAATAAGAGCAGACAGGTGTTGGCGTGAAGATGTGAGGTGTGGAGGTGTGACGCCGCCCAGGTGTTGAACACTACTGAGGAACACTTCTGCCCTCCTCCCGTCCACACGCTGCCTTAGACACCACCACCACCACACATCACCCCCCCAAACACACACACATCACTACCCACATCACCCCACACACACACTACCACCCAAACCAATACACACACATCACTATCCACACCACCACCACCACCCACGTCCGCATCTGTCATCGAGTACATAGTGCCAGTTTGGAGTTCACACCTGGTCAAGTATGTTTAGAAATTCAAGAAGGTGCAGAGGTTTGCAACAAAACTAGTCCAAGAGCTGACCGAACTGAACATTAAGCAGAAGCTTGACCTTAGAAGAGAGAGGCACCAGAGAAGACGATCAAAACATACTTTTAATATATATTTTATGGTGAACTAAGCAAGCCTGACCAACATACAAGTTCATCAAAGGTTTTAACAGGGGGTATAAGGACAGACTGAAATTTGATGGACAGTAGAGATAGTGGCTTAAACAGAAATGCATATAAGCCACACGGATGTTAGGAAATGCATAATCAGCCTCAAGGTGGTAAGTAAAACGAGCTGGATAAAAAAAAGTGGAGATAGACTCCATACAAAGCTTAAAGAGTAGGTATGATAGGGCCAAGGCGACCAGAAACCTATAATTCTGATGGACTGTAGTTTAAGAGGTGGGGGCCAGGAGCTGAGACTCATACCATAGTGACTTTTGTATTTTTGTTACTGTTGGTATTAATGCTATTGTTTTTACTGGTGGGGGGGGGGGGTTGGCGGTGATTGTGGTGATGGTAGTGATGACGATAATGGTGGTACCAGGCACTGGTACCACCAGGCACTGGTACCCCACTATGCGCCCCAGGAGGGCGCATAGTGGGGCTTCTCCGTGCCTAGGTGAAGACAGGATGGGGAGGGGGAAGGTAATGGGAGTGCGTGTAGGAGATATATTGTAAGGCATCTCAATATGGAAGGTGTGATGAGGCAGCTGGCCGGGTAAATGAAACCAACACTGAAGACATCGTATCTAACACCTACATATTGTCTAGAAAAAAGACATATAACAATAATTAAACACTTCACATGAATGTTTATATTCCACTTGAAGAGGATCCAAAATTTTGGTTAAGGTAAAACACAAAACTCAATACAACCTTCAGTTGTGTTTTAGCAGCTTAACACAATATAACACTTTTCTGGCCGCAAAAAATAAAAAAAAATTTAGGTGCTGAAGCTGATAGTTATATTAGCAGGCATAACACGTTAAAACAAGCAGAGATGGTCAACATTAAATATCAAACAGGCGGCACCAAGTGCCTACTGTATTAATAAAAGAATATAACCATAAAATTATGTATCCTCTAACAGTAAATTTAATAAATCATGAACCAGGCGGGATGCCAAGACACTGTACGTTCACAAGAGTTACTTAGTACTGAGGAAGGTAAACAAGATATATGTCCTCTTCTTAAAGTGGTCTACAGAGATGGCCTATGAAATTGGAGGACATACAGAAATATTGCAGACAGTTACTGGGAGTTAAGATGGCCAGGCAAGATTACAGAATTAGATGGCAATATGTTGAGTAACCAAGAAAGATCTTAGCAGCATCCAAAATTATGTGCAACACTTCCAGGAGATGCTGTATGATCTTCAATGGGTGGGAGTGAACTAAAAAAGTTGATAGGTGGGCGGGAGTGAGTGGGTGGGGGAGGGCGGGTTTGGGTGGAGGTAGTGAAACACACCTGGTCACACAACACCAGTTGATACCTTGGAATCTGGAGGTGTGGTCTGTGTCCTGGGGGTGTGTGGTGTGAGGACAGTGTCAGCCTCAGTGTCAGCCTTAACCTCAGCGTCAGCCGCCGCCTCCTCCTCCTCCTCATTGACTCTCATAATGAATAACATGCACATCGTAGAAGTCCGGTACAGATATTAAAAAATATATAAAAAAAAATCATTGTACAATTCTTATGGATTCCATCACACACTGACTTACTCCTACATCTTAAAGTTGATAAATTAACCAAACAGGATTTGATGAAACTTGACCTGACTGGCTTCGGCCAGTATGTGACTTAGACTTGCCTAGCATGGGCCAGTAGGCCTTTTGTAGTGCTCCTTCTTTCTTACGTTATTAAATAACTTATCACAACTACTGATGCCAATAACAAAATCCCCCAACAAACACAGAATACAACCTCGTTCATATTTGCTAATATACAGGGCCTTACGCCATCCACCAACAACAAAATACCTTTTATCAGTGGACTTCTAGAGGAGTGTAATGCAATGTTTGTAGCCTTCACAGAGACTCACACAAAAGATCACTTTGACAGTGAAATATGGATAAGTGGTTACAGCCTTTTTAGATGCGACAGAGAAAACAGGCAACAAGGGGGGGTTGGCCTATATGTCAAAGAGTCCCTTATCTGCACGGGGTTGCTGAACACCACAAATGAGGTAGTTGAAGTTCTATCAATAAAGATCGAGAACCAAAACCTAGTCATTGTGGTTGTATACAAGCCACCAGATGCAACCTCACAACAGTTCAAGGAACAGCTACTGAAAATTGATTACTGTTTGGAAACCCTTCCAGCTCCATCCCCAAACATCTTACTGCTTGGTGATTTCAACCTAAGGCATACAAAATGGAAGAATGTAGCAAATAATGTTATAGCTGAAACAATCCCCGAAGGTAGTGCAGATGAAAGGTCACACACACATGAGCTACTAAGTCTCTGCGAAAAAAACACCTTAAGCCAGCAGATAGTGGAGCCAACAAGACTAGAAAACACACTTGACCTTATCTTCACAAATAATGAGAACCTGATAAGAGACATAAGAATATCAAAAACAACTAATTCCGATCACAACCTAATCGAAGTCCAGACGTACATGCATAGGGGTCCTGATCAGCAGAATGCATGTACCTGTGAAGGTGTCTTCACAAAATACAACTTCAACAACAAGAACATCAACTGGGACCAGGTAAACCATGTCCTAAACGAAACATGTTGGGAAGATGTCTTAAATGACATGGATCCAAACCAGTGCCTTGAAAGGATCAACTTCCTGGCAGCCAAAGCATGTTCTAGGCATATTCCCCTAAGAAAGAAGAAGAGCAGGAGTAAACTGGAGAGAGAAAGACGCTCCCTCTACAGAAGACGACGAAGAGTCACTGAGCTCCTCAGGAGTGCTAGAATATCTGATACACGAAAGGAGGCGCTGACCGGGGAAGTGGAAACTATCGAACTTAAGTTAAATGACTCTTACAGGAACCAGAAGAGGCAGGAGGAGCTTAAAGCTATTAGTGAAATTGAAAGAAATTCAAAATATTTTTCATATGCCAAAAACAAGGCAAATACCACATCTAGTATCGGGCCCTTACTCAGACAGGATGGGACTTACACAGATGACAACAAGGAAATGAGTGAAATATTGAAATCCCAGTACGACTCTGTGTTTAGTGAACCACTAATCGGTCTGAGGATCGACGACCCAAATGATTTCTTCATGAATGAGCCTCAAAACTCCATAAATGTATGCCAGATTTCCGACATTACCCTAACTCCGATAGATTTCGAAAAAGCCATTGACAACATGCCTATGCACTCAGCCCCGGGCCCAGACTCGTGGAACTCTGTTTTCATTAAGAACTGCAAGAAACCCCTCTCGCGTGCCCTAAGTACACTATGGAGGAGGAGCTTGGACATGGGTGAAATTCCACAGTCACTTAAAACAACGGATATAGCCCCACTCCATAAAGGTGGCAGCAAAGCATTAGCAAAGAACTATAGACCAATAGCTCTGACGTCCCACATCATAAAAATCTTTGAAAGAGTGCTAAGAAGCAGGATTGCAAATCACCTGGATTCCCAAAATCTGCACAATCCAGGGCAACATGGGTTCAGGGCAGGTCGCTCCTGCCTCTCACAACTACTGGATCACTATGACATGGCCTTGGATGCACTGGAAGAAAATCAGAATGCAGATGTAATATACATAGACTTTGCAAAAGCATTTGACAAATGCGATCATGGCGTAATAGCCCATAAAATACGTGCTAAAGGAATAACTGGGAAAGTGGGGAGATGGATCTTCAACTTCCTAACAAATCGAACACAGAGTAGTGGTCAACAGAGTTAAATCGGAGGCTGCCATAGTGAAGAGCTCTGTTCCATAAGGCACAGTACTCGCCCCCATCTTATTCCTTATCCTCATATCAGACATAGACAGAGATATACACCACAGCACCGTATCATCCTTTGCGGATGATACTAGGATCTGCATGAGGCTGTCATCTGCTGAGGACGCGGTTAACCTCCAAGAAGATATAAACAAAGTTTTCCAGTGGGCAACGGTAAACAATATGATGTTCAATGAGGACAAATTCCAACTACTCCGTTATGGAAAACTGGAGGAGATAATAACTAGAACAGAGTATACTACTGACTCCGGCCATACAATAGAGCGGAAAAATAACGTAAGGGACCTGGGAGTAGTAATATCTGAGGATCTCACTTTCAAGGATCATAACAGTGCCACGATCGCACGTGCAAAGAAAATGATAGGATGGATAATGAGAACTTTCAAAACGAGAGATGCCAAGCCACTTTATGATCCTTTTCAAATCACTTGTTCTCTCTAGCTGGGAAAACTGCTGTACATTAACATCTCCATTCAAAGCAGGTGAAATCGCAGATCTAGAGAGTGTACAGAGATCCTTTACTGCACGTATAAGTTCTGTCAAGCACCTTAACTACTGGGAACGCTTGGAAGCACTTGACTTGTACTCGTTGGAACGCAGGAGGGAGAGATATATCATAATCTACACTTGGAAATTCTTGGAAGGAATGGTCCCAAATCTGCACACAGAAATCACTCCCTACGAAAGTAAAAGACTGGGCAGGCGATGCAAAATGCCCCCAATAAAAAGCAGGGGCGCCATTGGTACACTAAGGGAAAACACCATAAGTGTCCGGGGCCCAAAACTGTTCAACAGCCTCCCATCAAGCATTAGGGGAATTGCCAA